AATGCTATAGGAAGGGAGGAAAACGGGTCCGCGACGTAGGAAGTGATGAAGGAAGTAGTCAAAGCGAGCTGTCCGTGGTATGGGAACTGTTTATGACGATTAGATTAAGGTATCTGCAATTATAAAATGCTGTGGGAAGGGAGGAAAACAGGTCCACGATGTTGGAAGTGATGAAGGAAGTAGTCAAGGCAAGCTGTCCGGAGTGTGGGAACTGTTTATGACGATTAGATTTAGGTATCTGCATCCCAAAAACTATGAGGGAAGGGAGGAAAACGGGTCCGCGACGTAGGAAGTGATGAAGGAAGTAGTCAAGGCGAGCTGTCCGGAGTGTGGGATCTGCTTATGACCATTGTATTAAGGTATTTGCAATCCTATGATGCTATGGGAAGGGAGGAAAACAGGTCCGTGACGTTGGAAGTGGTGAAGGAAGTAGTAAAGACGAGCAGTCCGGAGAGTGGGAAATGTTTATGACCATTATATTAAGGTATTTGCAATCCTATGATGCTATGGGAAGAGAGGAAAACAGATCCGCGACGTAGGATGTGGTGAAGGAAGTAGTAAAGGCGAGCTGTCCGGAGTGTGGGAACTGTTTATGACAATTAGATTAAGGTATCTGCAATCATAAAATTCTATGGGAAGGGAGGATAACGGGTCCGCGACGTAGGATGTGATGAAGGAAGTAGTCAAGGCGAGCTGTCTGGAGTGTGGGAACTGTTTATGACGATTAGATTAAGGTGTCTGCTATCATAAAATGCTATGGAAAGGGAGGGAAACAGGTCCGTGGCGTAAGAAGTGACAAAGAAAGTAGTAAAGGCGAGCAGTCTGGAGTTTGGGAACTGTTTATGACGATTAGATTAAGGTATCTGCAATCATAAAATGCTATGGGAAGGGAGGTAAACAGGTCCGTGACGTAGGAAGTGGTGAAGGAAGTAGTACATGCGAGCAGTACGGAGTGTGGGAACTGTTTATGACCATTAGATTAAGGTATTTGCAATCCTATGATGCTACGGGAAGGGAGGGAAACAGGTCCGCGACGTAGAAAGTGGTGAAGGAAGTAGTCAAGGCGAGCTGTCCGGAGTGTGGGAACTGTTTATGACGATTAGAATAAGGTATCTACAATCATAAAATGCTATGGGAAGGGAGGAAAACGGGTCCGCGACGTAGGAAGTGATGAAGGAAGTAGTCATGGCGAGCTGTCCGGAGTGTGAGAACTGTTTTTGACGATTAGATTAGGGTATCTGCAATCATAAAATGCTATGGAAAGGGAGTGAAACAGGTCCGTGGCGTAAGAAGTGGCGATGGAAGTAGTAAAGGCGAGCAGTCCGGAGTGTTGGAACTGTTTATGACGATTAGATTAATGTATCTGCAATCATAAAATGCTATGGGAAGGGAGGTAAACAGGTCCGTGACGTAGGAAGTGATGAAGGAAGTAGTAAATGCGAGCAGTCCGGAGTGTAGGAACTGTTTATGACGATTAAATTAAGGTATCTGCAATCATAAAATGCTATAGGAAGGGAGGAAAACGGGTCCGCGACGTAGGAAGTGATGAAGGAAGTAGTCAAAGCGAGCTGTCCGGGGTGTGGGAACTGTTTATGACGATTAGATTAAGGTATCTGCAATTATAAAATGCTGTGGGAAGGGAGGAAAACAGGTCCACGATGTTGGAAGTGATGAAGGAAGTAGTCAAGGCAAGCTGTCCGGAGTGTGGGAACTGTTTATGACGATTAGATCAAGGTATCTGCAATCCTAATATGCTATGGGAAGGGAGGTAAACAGGTCCGTGACGTACGAAGTGGTGAAGGAAGTAGTCAAGGTGAGCTGTCCGGACTATTAGTGGGATCTGTTTATGACTATTAGATTAAGGTATTTACAATCTTAAAATTTTATGGGAAGAGAGGGAAACATGTCCGCGACGCAAGAAGAGGTGAAGGAAGTTGTAAGGTGAGCAGTGTGGAGTGTGGGAACTGGAAACCGTTTGTAGCGGTTAGATTAATGTATCTGCAATGATGAAATGCTATGAGAAGGGATGGAAGCATCCCCACGGCATAGAAAATGTCGAAAGAAGTAGTAAAGGCTAGCAGTGCGGAGTGTGGGGAATGTTTGTGGCAATTAGATTAATGTATCTAAAATACTAAATTGCTATGGAAAGTGATGAAAACGGGGTAGCGGATTTTTATCCCCCTGGAATTTTACCCCCTGGGCAAACGTGACGTCACAAACCAGGGGGTAAAATTCCGGCCGCGAACTTTTGAGTTTCGCGACAACAGCTCGATGGATTAAACGCGGAATTAAACATATATTTTCACGGTTGTGAGTTTAATCAGAACACATCAAATTATAAAAACCTAGAATGTACGGCCCGGATTTTTACCCCCTGGAATTTTACCCCCGGAATTTTACCCCCCGGATTTTTACCCCCGGAATTTTACCCCCGGAATTTTACCCCCCGGAATTTTACCCCCCGGAATTTTACCCCCTAGCCAGATATAAATTAGTGAGAATGATTAATTATCGTCATTCAGTTTTAGTTTAATGGTAAACATTTTATTATTAAGTAGCCTATCTTAATTTATATGTAACATTAACTAATCGAACAGGGTTTGAATATTAATTTTGAGATTCGAGTGTCAGGATTCAATCTTTGAAGCCAACTGTTGGTTAATATGATCAAAATAAAACAGCGAATTCTGTTTACTTAGTTGAGATTACAAAATAAATAAATAAAGATAGGCTACTAAATAATGAAATGTTTACAATTAATTAAAAACAGAAATAAGATAATCAATCATTCAATTTGTAAAATCAGCCAGGGGGTAAAATTCCGGGGGGTAAAATTCCGGGGGTAAAATTCCGGGGGGTAAAATTCCGGGGGTAAAAATCCGGCTCGTACATCTTCAGTTGCCTAAACGCTAGTTATATGGACAGGGGGTAAAATTCCGGTTTTTATCGCTAATCTAATTAATCACGCTCTGACTATTTTCATTAGACTTCCAAATCCGCGGGGGTAAAATTCCGGCCGCGAACAAACTTTTGGCCACTCAGGTTACTACGTCATAGTGACGTCAGCTTTGCCCAGGGGGTAAAATTCCAGGGGGATAAAATTCCGGCGACCCATGAAAACAGGTCCACGATGTAGGAAATGGCTTAGAAAGTATGAGTAGTAAAGTATGAGCATAGTGTGAAAGCCGTCTATGGCAGTTAGATTGATGTATCTTTAATCCAAAAATGCTATGAGAAGGGAAGGAAACAAGTCTATGACGTAGGAAATGGTGAAGGAAGTAGTAAGGCTTGCAGTGCAGAGTGTGGAAACTGTCTTTGGCAATTACATTAATGTATCTGCAATCCTAACATGCTATGGGAAGAGAGGGAAATAAGTCCACGACGTAGGGGGTGGTGAAGGAAGCAGTAAAGGTGAGCGTGTTGAGTGTGGGAATTGATTAATGTATCTGCAATACTAAAACACTATGGGAAGAGACTGTAGACTGTAGGTTAAAATAATTACGAAGCACGAATCGATACATGCAATCCTACTAATATTATAAATGAGAAAGTTTGGATGTATAAATGTATGTTTGTGACAAGTAAACGCGAAAAATACTGGTCGGATTGGGCTGAAATTTGGTACGATGATAGCTCATATTCCCGATTAACATATAGACGCAATCTTATCTCAAAAGTCCTTTTGGGCTCCGCCCCAGTGTCATTGGAATTTCCCATGTTAACCTTATAAGTATAATATTTAAAAGGAATAAAATAATTTTGTCAGCTGTTTCAACTATCCAAGTTGGTTCTATGATATTGAATAGCAATAAAAAGTTAAAAGGTTTACCAACAGGGTGCAGTACTATTATTTTTTTACATTTATGACTACATCTATTATATCCTATAAAGGCCATAAAGGTAAAATTTTGTTTTTAAAAGGCTTGTGTGTAACTATTTTATCAACAGATGTAAAGACCAAAATGTTTCTAGTATTTCGTGTTCTCTTCCCGTTGCAAAGCACGGGTACAACAGCTAGTCGTTTATAATAGCAATTTACAACTGAGTTGACAACAGCTGATTTTTACTCCATAGAGGATAAAAACTATTTTTACTTCCTAAAGAGTAAAAATGCTACTTTAGACCCGCAACGCATGCATTAAAACGACTGGTATTTCTGCAGTATGACCAAAACAATATAATATAAACCATTGATGACTCCGCTCAATTTTGTGGATGCCTCTACGAACGCCACCTAGTTTAATTTCAAGACCACTGTATTCGTTGGAAGAATTTTAGTATGTTTAGTTTTTAATGTAGTCTTATGAAAATATTTTTGACCCAATTCTATGTACTAATTTCATGTACAATTACAAAATAAAGGATTGAATTTAATGTATATTAAATATACAAGCAGTATCCATATCTAGTGCAATATTTATTGTCACGGCTGCCTAGCAACTATTTGTTATTTTTTGCTGATTCCTCTAAATACTTCTACACATAATCTTAAATTTGTTAGTTGTGTTGACTGTTAGATGAATTGAACTCAATAGTGTAGATTTATTGTGTTAAAATGGTGAACATACCAGAATAGTGTGGTGAAAAATAGCGTTCATACCACCGGCCAAAAGGTACGCATTTTGCAGCTCTAGATCGTGTAAAGTTCTCGACTTCGTTTCGAGCCGGCAAAACCTCATTTTTGGCCCTAGGTACAAAATACAATTTTATTATTTTTTTGTCCTAGGACGCTAGACACGAGCCCGGGATTGTTTTTCCACATTACTTCAGGGTAGACCTGGGGGTTGTGGCATTATCACTTAGATAAAATCCATTGGTGACTTGGTGGGATTTGAACCCGGGACCTCAGGGACTGGAGTCCCGCGATCTAACCACTACACCAGCTCGCTCCCCTGTAACTTTTAACAATCTAGAGCTGCAAAATACATAACTTTTGGCCGGTGGTACAGATGATATAGTAGGTCTTAATAATTCAAAAATACATACAATATAATATTAATAGAGATGTATTTATCACAGCTATTAAGACTATAAGGTTGTAACATTTTTATTGACACTTTCTGCTTGTAGTAGGTCATACCACTGAACCCATTTGCATTTTATTGCACTTTCTGCAACATCTTGAGTCAAGTCCTCCCCAAGAGGACACCTGAAAGCAAATAAAGTTCTTCATTTCATTCTTCATGGTACAACAAGAACTAAGACTTTACAAAATGCTGCAGTAAAACCAGGGGCGGCTCCAGCACATTCTCGGAGGGGGCCATTGCCTGGAATTTTGGGTTGTAGAGGTTGTAGGATACTTAACCCCCCCCCCCCCCTTTCGAACAAGTGCTGTATTTAGGGTACTAGCAAACCAATGCCAAATGAACCCAAGTTGCCCCCGCCCTTTAGGTGGAACTTTCTCGCGATCGCGACAAAATCTTTAACATCTACAGCAATCGAGGAGACGCCGTCATCGTCACCCTTGGTCGCAGAGAAATCGTGAACATATCTCGCGATCAAGGGGACATCATCATTATCACCCGTAATCCTGGGGAAATTGTGAACATCTCCAGCAATCAAGGAGACATCATCATCGTCGGGATTGCAGACAAATCCTGAACATCTCTTGCGATAAAGGGGACATCATTGTTGTCACCCACAATCGCGGGAAAATCGTGAACATCTCCTCAATCAAGGGAACATCAGAATCGTCACGAGCAATCGCGGTGTTTTTTAGGGGTGGGCGAGTAGTGATTTTTCAATTCGAGTCGAGTATTTGAGTAAAAACTCGAGTATCGAGTCGAGTCAAGTAGTTGCGCGTTAAGTAGGCCTAGGCCCTGGGTTTAAGCTGCGGTAGTAATTTTAGCATCTTGCTATTCACAACTTAAAAATGCTAAGTTTACATTGTTTTGCAGGCTAGGCCTATGGCAAATTTTCTACAAATAAAATTGAAAGATGTAGGCCTAATGTTCAAACAAATGTAATATTAGCCTACTGGAATTTTTTGTTTTAAATGCTTAAGTTATTGAATAATATTTTTTCTTTTCTACAGTTAACTTAGTTTTTATCTTTGCAGAGAGTTTGCAGCATTTTGCTGAAACAAATTTCATCCTAGCCTAAACCCTGCCTAGGCCTAAATAGGTAGTTTAAGTACTTATACCAAATTTTCTAAGTTATATGGTTACTAATTATTAGTACCTCCTACCTTAGGCCTAATAAAAAATTTGGCCTAGACTACTTGTTGACTGCAGCATTAAATTATTTAGGCCTAGGCCTACACATCACTTGTTATTGTGTGTTTTATTTTTTCTTGCCCTTAATTCCTCCTCACTATCATGATAATCAACCTAACTAACTAACTTAATAAGGTAACTTTAAGAATAATTTCAATTCAAATAAGAAACAGAATTTATTAAAATAAATTTATTTATAAAACAAAACTAATATCAAACTACATATTGTATCACAAGTTAAAAACATCAATATGCAATTAGGTATTTTAAAATAATCACTTAGATAAGCACTTCATCTGTTGTTTGAAGGTTATGGGTACTAGGGCTATCCTCTTCACTCATTACATTTATAAAAATGATCAAGTCACTCGTCTCTGACAGACTGAAAATATCAAACAAAAACATAGTAGGCCTATTATCTCGAAATAAAATCCCACATTAAGCACTTAACTTAAAATAAAACACATTTCACTGTAGCCCGGTATACTCGACGTTCTGTACCCACGAGCACCTCAGCTTCCACATGCACAGGATAACAGCTATTTGTGTAATAGCTTCACTGTATATCTTTAATTGGACCTGTTTAGATAGTTGTTTCGTTTCAACAGTTGCAGTTTGCAGTTGCGAACTGTGCATTGTGATTTTAAGGTGTTTATTCTTTACTGTTTGTTTATTTTTGACTTGAGCTGCTTGAAAAGGTGTTTCATGATTATGAAAATTAAAGTGTTGTGAGTGAGCTGAAGCTGATTATTTGTTATTAGGTATTAACAATTAAATATTTTGCGTGCATGAATTATTTATGAAGTTTTAAATGTTCACTTAACCTATCTTTTTCGGATTCCTCAAGAAAGAGTGATTGTTAATGTTAGGTTGATTTGTGTTTGTGTGTGAATTGTTACATTGGAGTTTTGCTAGTGGTAGGTCTAGGTTTATTTTGATTAAGTTAGTTGGGCCTTTCAGTGGAGTTTAGGTCTAAGTTATTGCCTTTGAAAAAGTTAAATTAATAACGTATCTATTAATAAGAGTATGCCTAAGTTAAGTTTACCTTAAAGGCTAACTTAGACCTACAACTACCAAAACTGCAATCTAACAAATTCACACACAAACAAACACCTAACCTAACCTAACAATCACTCTCTCTTGAGGAATCCGAAAAATATAGGTTAAGTAAACATTTAAATCTTCATAATTAATTCATGCACGCAAAACATTTAGGCTAATTGTCAATACCTAATAACAAATCAGCTTCAGCACACTCACAAAACGTTAATTTTCATAATCATAAAACACCTTTTCAAGCAGATCAAGTCAAAAGTAAACAAACAGTAAAGATTAAAGAATAAACACCTTTTCAAAATCACAATGCACAGTTCGCAACTGTAACTGTTGAAAAAAACAACTATCTAAACAGAAACAGGTCCAATAAAGATATACGGTGAAGCTATTACACAAATACCTGTTATCCCAGGAACTATTCGAAAGCCTTCTGTGCTTGTGGAAGCTGAGGTGCTCGTGGGTACAGAACGTCGAGTGCCCGGTATAGCCTATTTGGCCTTTCTTTATAAACTCACATTTTCTAGGTTAAGTTACAATTCAAACTGTCGTCATGTTTCTGCCACCAGATTGAAAATTGCACAATCAAAATCACAAACAGAATATGTTTATTTTACTTTCTATTAAACTTCCACTAACAAAATCAATTTTATTATATGTTACAAATTCACTTCAAAGTAAAAACATTCAAAACTGACATTGACATAACTTCAATCACTCCAATCCATTGTTTTGTTGTAACTGTAACGCCAGCTGTCACCATATCTGCTCTCTCTCTCTCTAGTCAGTCTGCTCATTCTGCTTCTGCTTTGTTTTCCCATCAAACAGCTGTTTTGCAGGGCTGACGTTGCCATATTTATCATTACACCATTATGGCGAATGTCGGTAAAATTATCATAAAATTGCTATAGCTTTTATTTCGTAAAAAATTTAATGGTTTGACTAATTTTAATCAGGATCTAAACTGATTAGAAAATAAATTATACTTATAGTTTGTTTACGCCAATACCACAGTTGTAAAAGTAGGTTACTATTTATTTAGTTTTGATATAAGTTAAAAGTACAACAATTATCGTCCATCTGGCAACACTGAGTTTAAAGTGGAACTGATCTTTTCTTTCTGCCAAGACCCAATGAGATAGCGTCATTCAGATGCATCGATGTTCCTTGCAGTAACTTATCGGTTTGTAAAACCTGTAAAACTAAACACCAATACCGATTTATGTGAAAAAATATTATGCTACAACAGGTTATTTTTATTTGTTGTATTTCTATATTTTGGTATAAAATATTTTGTTATTTCTATATTTTGGTATAAAATATTTTTATGGCAGTTCAAACTAAATCTGATACTCTACTTTATAATGTCTTCAAGAATCGTCTGCCATTGTTATACTAGTCACGAGACTCCCTTGTTGACTATCGACTATTGCAATTCGATAGATTCATTCAATGCTTTATTTCAACTTACTGTATCGTTATCGAGACGTATTGTTGACTGTTGTACGAAAGTGAAAGTCTGTTAGTAGTCCTCTTGCTAGCTCTGCCAAATGACGATGCGTGTTTGTTGAACATTTGGTTTACGCTGGTCTAACCTATATGAGGTTAGATAGTTGTTTTTTATAGGAATGGGGATTAAATAAGGCATCAACACAAAACAAAATATAATTTATCAAATATGGGTGTAGAAAATCGTGAAGTGGCACTATTTATAACTACTCGACTCGAATTTTCGAGTAGTAATTACTACTCGACTCGAGGTCGAGTATTTGAAAAAACTCGAGTAATTACTCGAAGGTCGAGTACTCGCCCACCCCTAGCGTTTTTAACAAAACCGCTGCAGTCCTAGAACACGGCCTAGTCATAAATCCAACACTGCCTCCAACCACTCATAACTAAAAATATTCATAATTAAAAAACATTGCAGACTTTCAGTATTTAATTGTAATATAAAGTTAACAACAAACTAACATAAGCTTTGTGCAATCACATTTTTAAGGTTAGTATCAGTAACTGATCCTGATCAAAATCAGATCTCGATATCAGTAACCTCACTACCCACAGTCAAGCGTCGATTATCAGTAGCCCGGTCATGCGAAACGTGGCCGAAAAAGTCAATTGTGGGTGTTGACGAGATAGCAAGAGACGACCAGCGGTGACACCGAGATCACAAAATATGGTCACGGATGTTGCCCGATTGCAGAAGACAATCAAAACTAATAAAAAACACATGTGCACATGAAAAATGCAATGTTATCTTGGCTACATACATAAAAAAAGTGTCTATTTTTAAAAATAAATTACGGGACGGGTGTATCTGTGAAAGCAGTTTGGCAATATAATATTTACAGCAAATTATATTGTTTTCAAGTATTGTAATTTGTAATTATTAATATGTAAATAAAATAAACTTATTGGTATCAGAATTTTGAGCCAATCGTGATACTGAAAAATTGGGAATTTTGGCAGGATTTGGAAGACTATGTCCCCCCTGGAGCTGCCACTGAGTAAAACTAAAAATAAATTTGCAACTAATCATTCAGTGATAAGCAGACGGAAAAGAATGTATAACAGAGAGAATTGTAGTGCATTAAGTTCACAGATTAACACTCGCTAAAACATTTATACACTTATTGACAGAAATAAGACAAAGGTCTCACTCAAACACTTACTTGGCCTCAATGTCAAGTGCATCCAGCTGGTCATGTTGGTAGATTCCCTGGCCAACTCGCCAGCGCTCCACACCATTCCATGCGATCATTATACCATTGTCTGTGCACAGATGAGGTGGGGGAACCTTAACATCATAGTCCAGCTCTCTACACAACATCCCGACTGCTCTTTGTATGTACTTGTTGCAAGCCACTCCTCCTGATATCACCTACAAAGTACACATGTCACATCATAGTCAGATAAAAAAGAAGATATTAAAGGGACAAAAATAGATAACTGGTCCAATTCTAAGTAATGTTTGAAACACTTATTGATGGTTCAATCAAACCTTAACCTACAGTCGGGACCATGTAAGTTTGCAGTTGAGGGAAGAGCCTATTTACCATATGGTTTTGAATGAACCAATGAGAACCGTGCAGTGTTGCCAAATCTAATAATACCAGCTGATTTGAAAATATTGCTTAGTATATTTTAATTACCTAGTGTTGTCAACGGGCGATGTGGCAACGTCGCACTAGCCTTGTCTTGTGATTGGCTGCCACCAACTGCAAACTTACGTGGTCCTGACTATAGCTGTTTTTTTATTTTGGGTTTTCAGTGAATATCCGTGTAGGGAATAAATAATTATTACCGTGAGTCTTATGGTAGGAACTAGACCCGAGACTGAGTTTTTTGTTTTGTTTTGTTCTGTGTGAGTTTTCTCATCCTACCCTGGAGACCAATCAATATTTACTTTTGAAAACCCCACCTCAGAACTTTGTACCTTCATGGGGCGTAGACCCAAGGGAACTCAGGGAAGTGAATAGGCCTAAGACATTCATAGATATATGGGCCATCATTTTTCTCAGTTTTGGCTATATCCGTTGAGTATTTTCATTTTAGTCATGACAGCTGCCCAGACAGACATACAAACAGACACCACCTCATTTTTATAATAGTACAGATATTTAGGAAATTTAAGGCCGTACAAAATTACAGGTTGGAGTCTTTTAAATATCACTTTCTTTATCTAAAAGTATTAACTTTACCATCCATGTCCATTCTTTGTAATTTAATTTGTATAAAAAAACAATTCATCAATGATTTCTCTTGTTCCTCAATACTCATACAGCACTAAAACATAAGACCAACCTTCTTTTCCTTCAAATCAAATTATTTTTACATTTCAACTGCAACCAGTACAGTTTTTTTTTTTTTTTTAATGAACTACATTATTGTACTGTCTTAAAACAGATATATTAATTTAAATAGTTTTCAGCTGACTTAATTGTTTGTTTGTTTTTGTTTTTGTGTTGTTCATGATTTTGAAATGGAAGTAAAAACTATGTAACATAATGTTAGTTTCATTTATATATTAAAAACTGTTCAATGGCGACGAGGATGAGGAGGAGGAAGGGTGAGAGACACCAGGAGCTAGTAGAAGAAGGTATATTAACACCCAGTCAACCTATTTTCTGTTCTAATTTTGTTAAATTTGATGAGGACAATGAGACATGGAGTTCATACATGGTAAGGCTAGACAACTTTTTTGACCTAAACGGAATCACGTCAGAATTAAAGAAAAATCAATATTTGATCAATTTGTTGACACCTAAAGTATTTCATGACCTGAGAATTAATCTGAGCCCATGTGACATTGAGGATAAAAGTTATGACGAAATATGTGAAGCTTTACAATTATTACTGGAACCTAAGGGAAGTATTATTGCAGAACAACATAAGTTCACTAAAAGAATCCAGAATCCGAGTGAATCTGTAGGCAGCTTCGCCAAAGATCTGAAAACCTTAGCCAGTAAATGTGATTTTAAATGTCCAAAATGTAATGCATCAACATCTGACGTTCATATGCGGCAACAGTTTATTTCGGGCATTCATGATGGAAAATTGCTGTCTAGATTAATTGAAATTCACGAAGATAAAACGTTTAACCAATGTCTTGAAATAGCAAGTAACTTTGAGCAAATCAAAAGTGAAACAACGAAAATCCAAGAATCAAATTTGCAATCAAAAGTTGGAGAACAATTTCAGATTCGAGGGAAGAAAAGCGCTGGATATTTGCAAGGAAAGGGTAGTAAAATATCATGTTTCAGGTGTGGGGGACACCATCACATAAGTGCGTGCGAAATTCCAGCAGACATTAAATGTTGGAATTGTGAGAGGAAAGGACATCTCAGCAAAGTTTGTCGGAGAAAGAAACAAAACATGCGACAAGCTGATGACGCTTCGACAGGAAATGAGTATGAAGAGGAAGGTGAGTGTCAAAATCCACCTTTTATGTCAATGTTATCCATTGTGGATAGAAAGAAGAAATGTACTAAATTGTCTAAGCTCTCGGATGATGCATATCAACCCGAAATGGTAAACAGGCCGGGAAAGATTATGTTAGACTGCACCATTGACGATAAGCGTAACTCTTTTGAGTTAGACACTGGTGCTGCGGTCAGTACTATACCGCTGCATCTGTTTAAGAAATTATTTCCAGGTAAGATTCTAAATAGAACAAGAATGCCGTTAAGAACCTATACAGGAGAAATAATTCGCCCGGTAGGGTTTGCGACTGTCGAAATTTGCTATGAAAATCAAATATCTGTGGGCAACTTGTATGTTATTCGGGGGAACGTAGACAGTATTTTTGGAAGGGAGTGGTTAAAGTTGTTCAAAATTGAGCTTCCTTCATTAAGCCAGGTATCAGAAGATCATACAGATCATAAAAAAGACCAGTTTATAGAGAATCTTAAGAGCGAATTTCCTAATGTTTTCTTACCAGGAGTGGGTAAAGTACCGAACTATGAAGCTCATTTGAGTTTGAAACCAAACTCTAAGCCGGTTTACCTGCCACCCCGCCCTGTTCCTTTTGCTTTAAGGGATAAAGTCAATGATGAAATTGACAGGTTAGAAAAGGAGGGAATTCTCTCAAAGTTGACCTACAGTCAATGGGGTACACCTATAGTACCGATAGTTAAACCAAACGGGGATATTCGGCTTTGTGCTGATTACAAAGTATCAGTTAATAAGAACTTGGAACCTGATCATTATCCAATTCCAACATTGGATGACATATTTGCGAGCATGAGTGGCTGTAAGTATTTTTCGACTATTGATATTTCTCAAGCGTATTTAAACATTCCCATGGACAACGAGAGTGCCAGAGTACAGGCCATTAGCACATATAAGGGTGTATATGCGGTCAATAGACTCATGTTCGGAATCAAAAATGCTCCAGCTGAGTGGCAAAGATTCATATCTCAAGCTCTAGACAACATTCCAGGTGTTACGGTGTTTTACGATGACATTAGAGTAGTGAGTAAAACGTTAGAGGAGCACAAAGATCGGCTAAAAGAAGTTTTCAGAAGGCTATCCAATAATAACTTGCGAGTCAATAGTAAGAAATGTAATTTATTTAAAGCTAAGATTGTGTATTTAGGGCATGAAATATCAGAAAAGGGTATTCACAAATGTAAAGACAAAGTGGAGGCGGTAGTAAATGCTCCCCGACCGACCAATAAAGATGAGCTTAAAAGTTGGTTGGGTCTCATTAACTATTATGGAAGGTTTGTCAATCACCTCTCAAGCTTGTTGCACCCTTTGTATGAACTGACCAGAGGTGGTAGAAAGTTTACCTGGACCTCAGAATGTGAGAAATCTTGGCTTCAAACAAAAAAGGAAATTGCTTCAGATAGAGTTTTAGTTCCATATGACCCTAATTTACCAATTATTCTATCAGTTGATGCTAGTCCAGTAGGGCTTGGAGCTACTCTTTCACACGCTCTCCTGGATGGATCGGAAAGACCAATATGTTTCGCTTCTCGCACTCTTACGCTCACGGAAAGGTCGTATTCTCAAATCGATAAAGAAGCTACAGCAATCTTTTGGGGTGTAAATAAGTTTTTTCAATATGTGTTTTCCAAAAGGTTTATTTTAAGAACAGATAATAAACCGCTTGTTTCTATCTTCAACCCCGCAAAGGAATTACCACGAATGACTGCACAAAGACTTCTAAGGTATGCCATATTCCTGCAAGGTTTTGACTACGAGGTTCAACATATAACTTCTGAGGAGAATGTCTCGTCTGATGCCCTTTCGAGAGCACCGATAAAAGGAAAAGAGGATGAAAATTTCATGGATGACATAAACAGAGCGTGTTTATACCAAATTAGGCAATTCAATGATGTATTGCCTGTGAAGCTGGACGAAATTCAAGAGGAAACTCAGAAGGAGATTGTAATGAAAGATATTTACGATTGCTTACTAAGAGGTAAACCATTGGGTCATAAGGAGTATAAAAAACACTTGGATGAATTGAGTATAGTGGACGGTTGTATAATGAGAGGCGATCGAGTTATTATACCACGCACTCTGAGAAAACGTGTTTTGAATGATCTACATTCGTCTCATACAGGAATTGTTAGGATGAAGGCCCTTGCAAGAAGTTATGTCTGGTGGCCAGACATGGATCTCGATATAGAACAATTTGTGAAACAGTGTACACCCTGCCAAAGAAATCAGAAGAATCCGGCTAAAGTGTGGCATCCATGGGAACCAGAAAATGCACCGTGGAAAAGAATACATGTTGATTTCTTAGGACCTGTATCAAATCAATACGTTTTACTGGTTGTAGATTCATTCTCTAAATGGTTAGAAGCCTGTCCCATGACACAAGCAACATCAAAGAAAACCATAGAGTTTTTGGAAGATATCTTTGCAAGATTCGGCCTACCTTATACATTGGTGAGTGACAATGCTTCGATATTTAAATCAGAAGAGTTTAGTAATTACTTAAAACATAATGGTATTATTCACAGAACCATTGCACCCTATAATTCGCAGAGCAATGGTCAAGCAGAACGCTATGTTCAAGAAGTGAAAAGGTACTTAAGAAAAGAAGTGGACACAAATGGAAACCTAAAAGAAAAACTTCTTATAGTTCTTTCATCTCACAGACGAACACCGACATCAACAACAAAAAGTCCGGCAGAGTTGATGTTTGGAAGAAAACTGCGGAATTCGTTAGATGTGTTGAGACCTTCATTAGAGTCAACGTTGAAACCTACCTTTCGCACAGCCCAACAAGGATGTACATCTTTCAAAGGAACCATAAGAGAATTCAAAGAAGGTGAACATGTTTTGGTAAGAGAAATGGTGAAAAATGGCAAAATTGTTTGGAGAAAAGGTGAAATAAAGAAAAGAATTGGAAGAGTGATGTACTCCGTAGTTGTTGATGACATGCTATGGAGACGGCACATAAATCAACTTCGGAAGATATAGAATCTACAGTATCCTTTGAATTATTTCATGGGGAAAAGTTTGTACTGTCTTAAAACAGATATATTAATTTAAATAGTTTTCAGCTGACTTAATTGTTTGTTTGTTTTTGTTTTTGTGTTGTTCATGATTTTGAAATGGAAGTAAAAACTATGTAACATAATGTTAGTTTCATTTATATATTAAAAACTGTTCAATTATTCTATAGGATATCTGTTGTAACAGAATAAAAAATTAAAAATTTTTGCCTTTATTTAAACAAAATGTGTTTCATAAAGCAGACGAATTCCCAAACAGTGACAAAACATAGTTAGATTTTCACTAAAAAATGTTATTTCCTTTTATAATAAGCTCTAGTTTATTCTTTTATTACAAGGCCTTTTAGATAAAGTTAAGTTAAATGCTTCAATTAACAGTCTAGCCTTATTAAGTCTAATGAATGTGAAATCATTAAGCAACTAGTCTGTATGATGGAACCTGTCTCTTGACCCTCCATTGACCTAGGAACTGGCCTATGGTTTAAGTGGTGCATCTCAGGTAGACATTCCATCATACAGACTTTAAGACTATGTAATAAATGTTCAACGGGTTATTTATAAATGTTTGCAAGTGTTACCAGAGTGCGTCGGTCCTCAGGGATGAGTTTTCGCAGCGCAATGTACTGCAGAGCTCGCTGCACTCTGTGGCAGATGTGAGTTGCGACACAATGCTGCAGACTGGCGCAAATATCATAGAGAACTGGCTGTGGTAACGTTTGTCCTCCGATGATGTCTGCACAACACAAAGAGTGATCAACCTTATATGGCTAGGGACTTTTGATTGATTAAACTAAATATATGTCTATTTTATCATGTTTTGCCCTCATCGGACACAAAAATCAGAATTCTAATAAAATGGGTTTTTAGTAAATTATATCCGTGTTGGGCCGAAGCAGAATGTTCCAACAGTAACTCCTGCTTGCCATAAAAGTAGGCTGCAAGGAGACAAAAGAAGTCTGATGACAGTACAAAACAACGGCAATGTACCCCAGGTGGGTCTGGACATTGTTCCTGAATCCAACCCTGTTCATTCGGGCAGCCCCTTGGATTCTGTGGGGGGGGGGGGGCAACCAGGCATTTTCTTCGGAAGCACTTGTGGCAGGCAACCAGGCCACAGTGCGGATTGATGCTACTGGTAGGTACGAGATGGAATGGGTTCGCCAGGGTGTTTAAAGAAGAAACAAAAAATCCTGAGATCTTCCCCTGATAATGCCAGGAGTTCTACCGGGCTCACGCCTCTTCAAACAGGAGTGACACTGGTAACTAGAACTCAAAAAGAAGATACGGGGAAGATACCACCGAAACCCTTTGGCCCAGCCAAAGTACAGGTGACATTTAATTCAATTCAATTCATATTCTCTTTATTCATTCACAGTACAAGTTTTTATACAATGAATAGCTGCAATAAATAGTGAAATCAATGAATAGTGGGTGCAATGAACATCTGCACCAAGCCCGTTTCGACAAGACGACAAAAAGTCAACGGGAAAGGACGTCTCAGTGGTTCCGAGGAGAGATGAAAGCAGTATCGGCCACCTGAGAACTCAAATTGACGATGCGAACGTAGCAGGGGGAGAACAGCTTGACCTTATCGCTAAAGCTGTAAGCAATATAGAGGCCAACCGAGCTGTTCAAGTCCGACCACAAAGGTCCTACAAGGGTAAAGGATAGCGTACGGACGATTGGTGATTATGTTTTCCGGCTACGGTGGATTCGGGAACTTTGGCTGGCGTCAACTGCGCCCGAGCGCAAGTGGGTTCGCCCATCTCCTGGTTCCCGTTTGGGTGACATTGGAGAAACTCTGTATAGCTAGACGGAACCCTTGACAACCCGCGGGCCAAATTCAAGGTCTCAGGAAGACACCCCCTCTCATGATACTCCCTGGCAGGAGCAGTGCTGCGCCAAGAGGAGAAAGAAGAAAAAAGAAAAGCAGGCTGCAAAAGAAGCCAAGAAGGTCAAGAAGAAGTAGCTTGTCTAAGCCTAAGCCCACATTGAGAAACAGAAAACTGATGCAATTCTTATACGTCCGACCACTGGAAAGTCGTATGCAGATTTTGCTGAAGGATATTCGGGAGGGGGTGAAACCGGAAGAGTCGGGGGCCGAAATCAACGAGATTTGGCAAACGCATTCCCTGGGAGTCCTCGTGGAGCTTGGAGCGAAGACCAAGAACAAAGAGGAGTTTAGCTCTGCTCTGAAGAAAGCAGTTGGAGAAAGTGGAACTGTCAGGAACCTAGAAACAAGATTCTCTCTGGAAATTAGGGATCTTGATAGTTTCACCCCCGAAAAAGACGTGAAGGAGACCATCAAAAGAGACCTTGGAGCTCAAGCGGGGGAGGTTAAAGTTTTTTTTTTTTTTAACAGCAGAGAGCTGAAGCTAGCGATAGTCTCACAGTCAGAACAAGTAGCAAATGAGCTCCTTAAAGTGGCATGGATAAAAGTAGGCTGGGTCAATGCCAGAATTCGCCGCAGAGTAGAAGTTACTAAATGTTTTAGGTGCTTTGGTTACGGACATCTCCAGGTGGACAGCAAAGGCCCAGACCGACGGTCAATGAATTTATGCCAACAAGAGCATGCCTTGTTTTTCGGCAGGCCCTCGCCAGTGCCACGGTCAATAATAAAAAACAATGAGAGCCCTCCAAGGAAATATTCACCACTGCAGGGTGGCGAACCTCCTGGCTCAGAGAGTCTTGGAATAAAAAGATCGACCTGCTTTGTAAGGTACCAAATTTTAAGGGGGGTAAAAACGTACTACGAATAAATGAACATCAGAACTTACCCGATTTTTAACCACAATAGCCTACTCCTAGGCCTATGTGTTGGCCATAGCTTGGGCTATGAGCCAAAGAACGTAGGCCTATTTTTATTCACAGTAAAGTACACAAACACATCCACAACTACATATTTATTCATAATAGCGCTTCGTTTCACATAATTAAGTTAAATCGGTCGATTTTACAGACATTTAACGCAGCCGACGACATAACCCCAAACTGGTGTTTATTTGTTGACAGACGACAGACGAAACTAGACCAGCTCAACAAGTGAATTTGCGATCAGCTGTTATCTAGTAGTACTAAAGTTCACCGCTTGAGCGTGTAAGCCTCGAGCGGGCAGGAACGAAGGATTTTACTCAAAGACAGGATCATTCGTTCACACGCCGTCTACGAAGTAACATCGTCGTTACAAGACTACGCATTCCCGCCGATCGCCGATATTACGAAGGTTAGCTATTCTAATAGTTAGACCATTTCTACGTTTTACTTTATTTTTGTTTAACGCACGCATTCTCGTTTTACAACTATTCTCGTTTCAGAACTCGATCTTAAACCTCTAAATTCTAATAACTTCGTTTTCGCCGACCTGCATAAAACCCGCCAGTTCCTGCCTGCCAGTGACTAGCGGAGGATTATCTTACGTTTGGTTTTGAATCAATTGGCTACGAAATTACGTTTATTCCGTTCGTTTAACGATTAATTATTATTTAGATTATTTTTAGAATTCAACGTTTTATTACCCCGAGACTTGTCGTCTGAGTTCTAAACCCCGTCTTTGGCGGGTGAAAGAATCAAGTCTTGTGAGCAGGCTGATTTGAACAATCAGCCACGTAAATTAATACTAAATTTACTTTAAATCATATCACGATAAATTATCCGTTCAGTTATATTAATTAGGCCCCGACGACTCTGTAGGAATTATTTTACTTACATTCGATATTAGATCAATTACCAACGTCCTTAACTTATTAGTTTACAGTTTAATACGAGCATTTTATCACATTGGCCCAGATTGAATACTTACCCTCCCTACAAAGTCATTCTAAAAGTTAGGCAAAATTCTCCACAACACGTTAGCGAAGGCTGGGATGATATAGCTCCAACTAAGCGTCTGCAGGATTTCCTGAACGTTTCCTGAGCTCTGAGCCTTCGATTAAATTTGAATAAATTGATCAGTCAAAGCCGTGACAACTTCGTATCGACCCCTGGATTTTTCTCGGCTCCTTCTGAGCACTCCGGGGAAGAAATTTGAGTGTGGCCGGTTCTAGGGGTAGGCCTAGCCTGACTTGGTGAATACTAGTTTATTCCCCCCCTAGAATTTTGCGTCACAGCTTATTATTAGCGAGGAGTACCTTGACAGGGACGGACACAATTGGTACCCGGACACAATTGGCACTGCTGCCATTTGGATCCCGAATACAAATGTATGTGTTAGAAGTCACGGTAGGGGAAACGGACTTGTTTAGGTGACTACCAGCGATACAAATTTTCTTAGCTTCTACTATCACCCAACCAGCTTAATGTGGCTGATTTTTAGGAACGTCTGGATCTGCTTGAGGACCTTCTTTGCTCCCTCAGTGGATACCTGATTATAGACGGTGATTTTAATGCCAGAGCCATAGATAGGGGTATGGCAAGAACTGACTTTTGAGGCTAACGAATTTTGGAGATGGCGGCAAGAATTGGTCTGGATGTAACGAAGATCAGACCGAACGAAGAGGTTGAGGCTTCCGATCAAGTACCCGTGTTCAGTGAGCAAGAAATGACAAATTCCATAAGCTATCTGCGCTAAGGCAAAGCTCCAAGTCCCGATGGAATCCCAATGGAAGTACTTGAGGCAGTTGGTGGGGAATTTCCAGACCTTCTGCTAAATATGCACATCCGCTGTTTGTTGGAAGGCTTGTTTTCGCAGCATTGGAAAATAAAACGCATTGTGCTGATACCCAAGAGCAAAGGAGATCCCGAATCCCCGTCTGCATACAGACCTCTATGCATGCTAGACACGGCAGGGAAAGTTTTTGAGCGACTCCTAAAGCCAAGGCTTGCACAGGCAGTAGAAGCAGCAGGTGGACTTTCTGATCGTCAGTACGGCTTTTGAGCGGGTGGATCAACGATTGAGGCTGTGAGTGAAGTGATCCGCACTTTTGAGGCTGCCCAGCAGATGAAACCCAGATCACGAAGGCTAGTCATGTTGGCTACGCAAGAAGTGTAAAATCATGTTCAACTCAGCCAGGTGGACTGACATGCTGGGTGCATTGAAGGTGGACTTCGCAATTCTCCCGTACCTGCTTAGAATACTCCAGAACTACTTATGGGGTCTTAAGTTGGTTTTCAATACCGAACAAACTTTTGCAGAGAGATATAACAGCGGGTGCCGCTCAGGGCTCAATTTTTCGATCTGAACTCTGGAACATCGCTTATGACGGGATTCTTTAAATGGAAATGCCTCGAGAGACTTTCCTCGATGGGTATGCGGACGATATCGCCGTAATTACAACGGCAAAGGATGTTGGTGAGCGGCAGAGGCTGTCAGCCTTGGCCATAGGTCAAGTCATGACGTGGATGGATGACCACGGCTTGTCATTGGCAACAGAAAAGACCGAGATCGTGCTTTTCACCAGACGATCAACCCAATCGTACAGCTTGCACTTGGCCATGAAAAAATAGTCACGAAACCTGCTGTTAAGTACTTGGGAATGAGATTGGATGTCCGACTCACTTTCCGGGAACAGATAATTTTTCCTGCAACTGAGAAAGTGGAAAAGATTGTTGCGAATTTGAGCAGGCTGATGAGGAATGACAGTGGACCAGTTGGCAGCAAGCGACAGGTGCTGATGTCTGTTGTTCACTCCGTTCTTCTTTTCGGATGTGAGACATGGGCAGAAGCCCTTCGAAACGAAACCCTAAGAAGAAAGATGGCAATGGCCCAGAGGAGAAGCGCTCTTCTGATCGCCTCGG